TGATGTGCGGTAAGTGATGCTTCATCATTTTTTCACCTTCAGATTCTATAGGCAACACAAACAGTTTGGTATCTAATCCTGGCGGAGTGAGAACTGCTTAAATATTTATAACACCTGAAATAATTCTGGTAGGACTTTCTACTGAAAATGTATTAAGGCTGAAGGTGCCATTCACTCTGCCTGGGGGTGTTGGGATGCATTCCTTGTTGCTTTCCTAGCTTTCATGATGAAATCAATATCTCCTTGCTCTTCCCCCTGGTCCTAGGTAACTTATTGTTTTGGTATCTTGGTTAAAAAGCAGCTCTCCTTTCATTTGCCTTTGGGTTTTCCCTCTGGGGCTCATGCAGTTCCACTTCTCCATCTGGTGCGCATGGTTGGCACACATTAACATGCTCTTTGCTTTCATGGTTCAATTAAGAAGCTCTTTTTAGAAAACATCTGACCTCGGGGAATCCTCAGGAAACCAGGCTTGGACTCGGCATATCTGCCCCGGGAGGTGGGGGGTGCTCTGCTCTGCAGCTGGGAGGCCCTCCAGGACCTGACTGCACCGAGAGCTGATCGTTTGATTTGCTCGTTACTCATGCTCTGGCCTTCTCTTTCAATGGGCTTTCTTCAATAGCAAGGATGAGAAATGGAGCCAGAAGTCTTTTTCCACTCTGCCTTTTGGGCTCCCAAGGCAAGACCACAAAGCCCAAGGTCTGTAAGGGTTTCATGAGGAACAGGGGTGGCAGGGTACACATACAAAAGCTAAAACACTCCTTTGCTATGGTGTGAATCTGAAATGTCCCAAAGGCCTGATGTGCTCAGAGGTGGGGCTTTGGGAAGGTGATTGGATCAGGGGGTGCTGTATTTTCCAGTGGCTTAGTGGATTTGGATGAAAAGCAGAAGAGGTGGGGGTGGCTGGCGCCGTGCCCAGTGGGTACATCTCCTTCCCCGGCTCCTCTCTTCTGTTCCTGCTTCCTAGCTTCCATGGTACAAGCAGCAGTCTTCTGTGCCAGGCCTTTCTTCCATGCCATCTCTGCATTTGAGCCTGCCACCTATAGACTAAAACTTCTGAATCCGTGCTCCACAATCTCTTCCTTTACTTTGCAGATGTTGTGCACTGTGTCTCAGGGAAGAGAAGGTAACTAAGACACCCATCTGTGCCCAAAGGCATCACATCTACAAGTTAAAACAAAGTCAGCCAGCCAGCCAGCCAACTGGCTCACTGAAGAGATTGCTCTCAGGGTCAGCAGCTCCATAATCTCTGTTCTAAGGGCTTTCACTCCCTGTTGACTTCAGCTTTCAAATGTATCATTGGAAAGGTTGTCCTTTCAGCCCAGCCTCTGACACAAACCATGTCTTGTTTTAGTAGCAGCCTAAACAACTCAGTTTGAGGGGCTAACAAGGGGAGACAGCACTCCAAGACAGCCACAGTCTACGAAGGCTGAAAGCCACAGGAACACACTGCTGCTGTTCATCGACAGCCCTTTAGTAGCAGGACCACAGGCAGGCACACCAGGCCTGAGGACCAGTGGTGATGAGGCTGCCATGGTCTCAGTGCTTGGTGAGCTCACAGTCCTGCAGGGATGAGGCTGCTACTGATCCTATCTGTAAGGCCTCAAGGAGGCGGAGCCCAAGGGTGCTCTGTGTGAACCCCCCCAATGCTAGGCCTACTGCAGCATCTCAGGGGTAAGACCATGCCCGCTCCCACGTTAGCCTGCAGGATGCAAAGGCACCTTTCAGCTTCCTTGTGAGTGATCTTCTTTTGGAGCTTTCAGAGTAAGTCCAGTTGTTTGAGTATTTTAAAAAAAAACTTCTCATGTTTTAAATAATCTTTGCTATTGGACTTTGTTAACTCTTCCTCCTAAAGGAGTTTAGGACTTATCTCCTCTCCAGCTCCTTTGCCATTGTTCTAGGTATCCACATTTGAGTCTTACCTGATCTACTTTAATAGATATTGTGAAAGGGAAAGAAACTGCTCGAAAGGGGAAAAAAATCTTGGATGAGGGAAAGGAGAAAAGATATATATCCTTCCTTCTTATATAGCTATCGTATATATGATATAGCTATCATATATGGCTTCTTATAGCATA